AGTCTTTCCTCCCACCGACGCTCGGCCCCCAGACCACTACGATCGTACAGCTCCTATACTAGGTAGCCTACAGTAATGACGAAGCAACCAGATGACGTCAGCAGCAGCAACCAAAGTACGTGCAGATGTTGCTCATGCAGAGACCTCCGCGAAGACCAGGTGCGTGCCCTCTCGCCCTCTCTATCACACGACCTCTACTAGTTCACACTCGTCTTCTTCCCCACAGTTTCTTCCACACACCAACGAAGACCACCACCACCACCTCCAGAGGCTGCATGCACCCAAGCCCGGCTATGGCATGCTGCTGTGCTGCCTTGCAGCACTCACCTCTCCCAAGCGCCCGCGCTCGCCCGGCCACCTCACTCAACCAGTCACGCGCGCTCTGTCCAGCACTCCAGCACCGCTGCCGCATCGCACTCTACCGGTAGTGCCCAAATGAGCCCCTCATCGTCAGGCTCTTTCCTATATGGAAGTAGAAAGTAGCCTGCCCCGAAGGCTCTCTGGACTGGGCAGCCCCTGCGCCCAGTAGCTAGGCCTTGGGCCAATGACTCGGCCCGATGCGGACGGTGGTGGTCTGGGACTACAACAGATCAGTACCGTAGTACCTGCGCCAGTGTTTGGAAATCACGAGGTAAAAGAAAAGAAAAAAAAAAGATAAAAAAAGAAAAAAGAAAAAAAACGAGGTTTTGCCAGTTCCCGAAGAAATCGGGGGTGGGACACAGGGTCCGCAAGGTCCCATAAATCTGAATTTTATAGTGCTCCGAGTGAAAGGAAAAGGGGGGGGAGGGAAATGCTTTCTCTACGGCAATGATGTAGGGCAGGGGCCTGGACCCATTACCAAAGTTCTTTCTTTTTTTTTTTTTTTTTTTTTTTTTTTGGCCCGATGGACCACGGATCAGATATTAAACTGATCAGAACAGATACTACACTTGATCTTATTAGCCAAAAGGCCGAGAAAGGTATATTAAGGAAGTATTCTACCACTTCGTTCAGGATTTCGATCGCCTGTGGCCTCGAGTGACACAGTACGGCCGTGGAAAGAGTGACACAGTACGGCCGTGGAAAGGATCGGATCTCTACGGCCTGGTAGTTTCCGAGCGGGGACTGTAAAGATGCCCACCTCCTGTCCAATGAGATGCGCCGAAAAAAAAAAAGAAAAAAACAAAGTTGAACATGATAGTTCGTGGCTTTGCGTGGGCGGGAAGTCTGGATTTTCTGGACTCGAAAGGGGGGGGGGKGTTGATTTCCAGACTTCGGGCATACTCACAGGGCGACCCCAATCCGCAAAATATGCGGGACAGATTTGGGAAGGGCCGATTTGAGGTTTTGGGCATGGTTCACGTCACACTGCTGTACCTTTTCAGATGGGACAAGGTCGTGGCCGTCTGGAGAATTGACATGGGGATTTGGTACTTGGCTGATCACACGGCGCCACCCACCAATTGTGAAAGAACTTTTGTGAACGAATTTTTGCCAATTTTTGAAGAAAATGCAAAAACAAAAAAGGGCATTAGGGGTCACCTCCAGAGGTGGCCGCAAAATCCCTTGCCCCGTGGCTTCCCAGGCCGCTGACACATGGGTACTGGAATAGTACGTTTGCAAATTTGGTAGATCCGTGTGACCGGCCTTTTCCCCTTTTTTGGGGAGATTTTGGGATTATAGGTCCCCGTGTGAGTATGCCCTTCGTTTTCTTTTCTTTTGGCTCTGAGAATTAGGGGCTCTTTAGACACTCCTCGGGCGCAAAAAGTCCCCGAGGAATTGTTCGTTCCACGAAAAAAAAAAGTGACAACACTCCGACGGAAATTCCTTGGGATCCGAGGATTCCCCAGCCATTTCTTCCTTTTGCCCAAGGGACCTCACGAGGTCACTATCCGCGTTTCACAGAGAGGAGCGGGCACATGGGTAGAGAGACGTTACAACCGAGAATCTGGATCGTGGCGGCACCCTATTGGCTGAAGGCCTCAAGCACATTTGATTTTTTTTTCTTTTCTTTTTTCTTTTCTGACATCGCTCGAAGGAAATGTCCTCGGGCAACGTCCCCGAGGACAGGTGGAACGAAGGGCCCAAATTTCTTTTTGAACCAAAAGGAATTTTTCCTTTTGCCCGAGGATTTCAATAGGAGTGTCTAACGAGCCCCATAGAACTTGAAATGTGAAATTCAGATATCCTGGTGGATCTGACAGGAACGCTTCCGCGTCTGTCGGATGGCCTGTTAGAGGCATCATGAGATACATGGTGATGAATGTATCCCCATACCCATTACTTGTTCGTCCTCGTGGCTGTGTTCGTGGACACATTTTATTGCCACGGTACATCACTATGAAGACTTACGTGAAGGAGATCGTACCAACCCATGAATTCGGGTGCAGAGCTGTTCTTCTTTGTTTTATGTGCCATAATTCCAATTCATTTTAAATCAGAAAACGATCCATTCATGCAAATAAAAAATCACTTTGTATTTTCCAAAAAAACATAAAATTGCGTCACACATCATAGAATACTTCGCTAGTGGGTTCAGGCACCAGGGTAGTCCAGTTGAAACAACTAGTACCTCCGCCAGTGTTGGGAAAAAAAAACGAGGTTTTGCCAGTTCCCGAAGAGATCAGGGGTGGGACACAGGGTCGGCAATGTCCCATAAATCTGAATTTTATAGTGCCGCCAGTGAATAGATGATAGCAATCTGGGCAAAGAAGGTTCTCCCCTGTTCAGTCAATCCCCTGGCTCCAGGGCAATCAATGCTGGCAGGATCCTCCTACAGTTTCTCTGATGTATGCTAAAAATATCATGTTCATAAGGGACGCTGGACCCGTTTTCCAGCAGGTGATGCTCCCCACCAATAGACGGAGCAATGTTCCAAAAAAAAAAAAAAAAAAAAAAAAAAAAAAAAAGAAAATATACACTGCATTCCCTGTCTCTTATACACATCTAGATGTGTATAAGA